TTTCTTGTAGGATGATCATTTTCACTGTGAGTCTTCTATCCATGAATAAGGAACATTTTCCCATGTAGTTTCCATGTAGTTGACTATTGTAAATAGTTTTGATTTCTTAGTTTTCTTAACTGTGTTTTATTACTGTAGAGGAATCCCACTGACTTTTGTATATTGACCTTGTATCCTGCCACTCTACTAAATTGGTCTACTAGCTCTAATAGGCTTTGTTTTTGTTGTTGTTGAGTCCTTGGGGTTTTCTGTGTACACTATCATGTCATCTGCATATAACAACAGTTTCACCATCTCTTTGTCAATCTGAATGACTCTAATTTCCTTTTCTTGCCATTTTTCCCTAGCAAGTACTTTCAATATAATATTGAATAGCTGTGGTGACATTGGGCTTCTTTGTCTGGTCCCTGTTCGCAAGGAGAATGTTTTTAGTCTTTTTCCATTGAGATTGACATTTGCTCTTTGTTTTGCATATATACTTTTCATTATGTTGAGAAAATTCCCTTCTATCCCAATTTTGCTGAGTGTTTTAATAAGGAAGGAATGCTGGATTTTCATCAAAGAGCTTTTCTGCATTAATTGCTAGATCACATGTTCCTTATTATTCGCTATGTTAAGGTGATAAACTACGCTGATTGTGTTTCTTATGTTCAACCATCTTTGCATACCTGCTATGAATCCCACTTATTTATGATTTTTTTTATATGTTTGATCCTATAGGCCAGGATTTTGTTAAGGATTTTTGCATCTATATACATGAGAGATATTGGTCCATAGTTTTCTTTCTTGGTAGTATCTTTGGCTGGTTTTGGCGTTAGGATTATGCTGACTTCATAAGATGACCCTGGGGGTGTTCATTCTTTATTTTTTTTTTAAATAATTTAAGTAAAATTGGTGAAATATCTTCTTTGCATGTTTGGTAGAATTTATTTGTGAAGTCATCTGGTTGAGGACCTTTTTTCGTGAGGATGTGTTTTTCTGACCACTTCAATGTCTTCTTTTTTGATGGGTTTGTTCAAGTGTTCTACGTCTTTTCATTTTAATCTAAGTAGGGCATGAGTTTCAAGGAATTTGTCTATTTCCTCTAGGTTTTCATAATTATCAGAGTATAGCTTTTCATAGTATTCTGTTACTATCAATTTAATTTCATCTGGTTCTGTTGTGATGTCACCTCTATCATTCTAGAATATTTTCCTTACTACCAAGGGTTCCCTATGCCCTTACATGTCAATGGCCAGAAAAATTTCTTTCTATATATCTTTAAAGCAATATATTTAATTTATTTGAACATTTTTAAAGTGAGGTTACATGAAAAATAATGTATTCACATGCCAAAAACAACATGTAGTGTTTAAATTTTTCACATAAAAGTAGATAGCACTTCTCTAAGTATAGGTTTAGCACAGACTAGCTACTAATGAGAAAATGTTGCCACAGTACTTCCAAGCCTGGCTAACATTTGAAGTGTAACATTCACCCAAAAATATGAGTCGGGAAAGGGGTGTTTTAATTTACTTGACATATTCTGAAATTATAAAGGTTTCCCAAAAAGTCTGCTAAAGTAGATACTTCACATGAGAGGATGGGGGGATGAGAAAACAAGATTGAAAAGCATGCTCCAATAAAAAATATCCTAGCATATTATATTTATGCATTTATGTAAAATTATATATGCACATAACATTTAAAATACAAAAATAATCACAGAAGCACGTTAATCTTTGCAAAAATTTTAAAAGTTTCCTATTGAATCCCCTTCGTAGCATTTCTTATTCTGTATTTCATCAAATTCTTCTTCTTTTCATTTTAAGGTGGGGGAAAAACCCAACCAAACCCAGATTGACATCTAAAACAGACTGACAGATGGATATCAAGACTGAGATCTGGAGTGATAAGTGCTGTCTCAGCCTGAAGATGAACATCTTTCTTCAAAATGCTTCCCTGTCTGCTCTTCCCAGGATCGATAATAGATCAAGCAATAACTTCAATAACTTTCTTTTTCTTCCTTTCTAACAGACACAGAGAAATGCCAAGACAGAAACCAAAGCCGAATTCCGGATCCTAAAGCTTACACCCATTTGACAGATGGAGTACCATTTTGCCAGGAAAAAGACACAGTGGACTAGTGCATAGGGAGTTTCACTGCCAGCCCACAGGCTCCCTGAGGAAGAGAGTTGGGCAATATTCTCCTGTGAGCCATAGCCACAAAAGACATGTTGGAAGGTCAGCTTTGGGTTGGTTCAAGCATGACAGCAATTAGGGTTTTTTCTTTTTTTATCTTGCTTAAGGAGCCCTGATGCTGTACTGGGTTAAATACTGGGCTGTTACCTGAAAGTTCAAGATTGTAAAAACACCAACCACTCCTTAATAGAAAGGTGAGAGTGAGACAGTCTACCTGTAAAGATTACAGCTTAGGAAAAAGCCAAGGGAGAATCACCACAAGTCACAATCAACTCAAGGACAGTTGATTGTTTGGTTTTGATTTTGATCCTGTTGAAGGACTATAATGTTTTAATGGTAGAAATCTCACCTTCATTACAGGAGATACTTAAACAACACCCATCTGTCAATAGGGGCTTGTGTGTTGTCAGATGTTAAGCAGGTTTCAGCACAGCTTCCAGGCCGAAATAAACTAGGAGGAAAGGTCTGGCTATATATTTCCAAAAATCAGCCAATGGATCACAACTGCTAAATCTCTTAGTAATTGTGGGGAATTGTGGGCAGGGCCACTGATTGACTACCACCTAAAGACAAGTCAGCCAGCTCATGGTAAGGGAGCCAGTAATTAAAAACCTTGTGTGGTTTCTATTATTATATCTTAATAAAAATTGTCTTGGATCCATAATCAACATCTATGGTAATAGCAGTCAAAAAGTTAAAGGACATTGGTATTGGGAAAATCTGCTGCCAAGGATCTCTCCAAATCTCTAAAGAAAACAGATATCACTTTAAAGACTAAGGTGCACCTGATGCAAGTCATGGTCTTTTCAACTGCTTCCTGTGTGTCTCAAAGCTGGACAATGAATAAGGATAACAGAGGAAGAATCAATGTCTTTGAAGTGTGGTGTTGGAGAAGAGTACTGAATATTCCATGACTGTCTTTAAGAAGTGTAACTAGGGTACTCTTTAGAGGCAAGGACGGTAAAACTCAATTTCACATACTTTGGGCATGTCGTCAGGAAAGGCTGGTTCTTGAAAAAAAATACATTAAGAAAAGTGGATATGTTTACGGCATTGAAGTCTATGGGGGAGAGAATAGTCTAAAAGTATTATATTTTAGGGCATTACTTTTATCATAGGAGTACGCAATGAGGGTTGCAGAGTGGATTATATTTGGGGTTGGGGGTGGGATTGGGGGAGGGGCAGGGGGGATTGTGTACCAATGAGGGAGTTTTTCTTTTGCTTTTCAAGGAGAGGAGCAAAGGGGGGGAGGGGAGGGGCGGAGAGAAGGGTGCAACAATGAATGAATGGAATTCCAAAATCTCTGTAGATGTTCATTGAAATGAAAAATAAACAAACTAAATTATAAAAAAAAAAAGAAAAGTGGAGGATCAACGAAAGAAATACCCTCAATGAGATGGTTTCTCATAACAACTGCAACAATGGGTTTGAGAGACTGGGAAAGGTTGGAGGATCTGCAAAAGGGAAGATGCTCAAGAGATTTACTGACATAGTGCCTGTAACACTGGGTGTGAGCAAGGTATAAATGGTGTTGATGGTGCAGGATAGGGTAGGAGTCAGAGCTTTTGTTCATAGGCTTCATAGGGTCACTATGAGGCATAGTCAACTAGATGGCACTTAACAATAGTACACACTGACTACTAATGCGTAGGCAGAGGCAGGAGGGCACACCATGAGCTGAAATTGGGGTCACGAACTTTGACTTTCTGAAATACACCAACTCAGAAAGCTCCCTCTCCCTTTTCCCTTGTTTCCCTGTACTCCCCATAAACCCTACCTTTTCTCTAAACTCTTCCCCTCCTGTAGCCACCACAGAGGGTGTCCAGCGTACGTCCAGAGCAGGACCAAACGTGAAAGACAAGTGGATAAGAAATAACACCCCACAAAAACAAAATATGATGCATACCATTGTTGTTGTTGGAAAATTGAAATATGGCTAAAGTTTTATATTAAAACTTACATTTGTCTCTTCCTGAGAGGCTGTTCAGAAGCATTCAAAATGGTCCAACGTCTGACCTACTATCGTATGCTGTCCTACAACACAGCCTCTAACAAAACTAGGCTGTCCCGAGCCCCTGGGAACAGAATGGTTTACCTTTACAAGGTTGAAAAAGCACCAAAATCTGCATGTGGTGTGTGCCAGGGCCGACTAAGACGGGTCCAAGCTGTAGAACTAAAGTTCTCATTGAGGTTGTCAAAAACAAAAAAACATGTCAGCAGAGCTTACAGTGGTCCTATGTGTGCTAAGAGTGTCCGTGACAGGATCAAGGGAGCTTTCCTTATTGAGAAGCAAAAAATTGTTGTGGAAGTACTGAAGGCACAAACACAAACTCAGAAAGCTAAATAAAAATGGCAAGTCTTTAATAAATTCATATGACTTATTATGTTAAAAAAACTTACATTGGTAAGAAAACTTTTTAAAACATATGAACGCATACAATGAGGGAAGAATTGTCTTTTATTTATTCACTTTTTAATTCTTAAGTAATCTACAAGAATATACAAAAAATTTGAAAGATAAAAATATTTATAGTCTTGTTTCCCCAAAACTGTTAATACTTTCATAAAACGTCTTTCTTAATTCTGCTCAACATAGTTGATACCACATTTTATGTGGTATCTATGTCCTCATTTTTCACTTAACATATTCAATCTCCAGATCCTAATTTTTGTTAATATTATTTTAAATGGATCCCATAGTTAAGTTTCACAGAATAAATATTTTCAGCATTTCCCTAAGTGTTACAGACATAAAATTTTTTCCAGTTTTGATTATTTTAATACTGTGGTGAGCATATTTCTGTGTAAGTCTTTTTCTGCATCTTAGAATATTTCTCTTGGATATATCCATACATATGTCATCACTGCATTTGCATGTAAAAAATTTAAGTCTTTTACGACACAGTTTCAATTTGCTTTGCAAAAATCATAACTTTAGGTAGGTGGTTTGGTAGTGTATAACATCTTCATAATATTCATAACCTTGGCTCCATTAATTCCTTAGGGAAATATCAAATATATAAAATTTTCTTTTACAATACTATTGTATGTTACTTACATTACACATAAAAAAAATCACAATCTATACTTCTGGAAATGATAAGTTAAATAAAATTAGGAAAGTCATAAAAAATGTACTTTACACAGCCATTGAAATAATCTTTTCAAAACCATTTAATAATGGATGAAATGTAAAATAGATCATTAAAGATTATATCTTAAAGATGTCAAGATATAAAATTATAAGAGAATATAAATTATAAATATGAATATATATACACTTATGTATATAACACATATTTATTCATAGAAAAAGTTTAGAAACATCAAAATATGTACAATAATTATTTTAGGAAGGATAGTTCCTGAGTATTATCCTTTCTATATTCAGTAGATTATTATATATTCAGGATAGTAATTCTTTTTTACATTTCTGATAAACAATTTTTCAAAGTTTCTTTTTCTATCTCTTTGTTTATAGACAGAAAAAGCTTACAATTTGTATGGATTTTTTTTTCATGTTCATAAAATAAATTCAAGTAAATAATAGGCATTTCTTTTAATCACATGACATTAAATGGTACTAATATCATGATATGCTTCAACAATAATATGGTCTCAGAATCCGTTCAATGGGTTTTAGACAGTGGCAGTCTTAGACACAAGAAGAAAACATGCGAGAAGCTTCTACAAGTGCTTCAGCTTATACTATAATGTTACTTTATTTACCTAATGTCTTAAGTTTAAAAAAAGCTCCTTCTCAATGAAGTAGAAACAGAATTTACACATTTGTTCTAACTTGTATGTTCATAAACATTTGTTAATCTTTGTTCAAACATATCCACTTCCTAAACAACATGCCTCCGGAAACTCTATGAACTTTGATAAATGTCGATAGTTGAAGAGGGGCTTCAGAGTTTTTGTTCATAGGGTCACTATGAGTCATGCTCGACTCAAAGGCAAGCAACAGCAACAACAATAGGTAAATTTATACAATTAGCAGCCTAGGTTCAGTGTTCAAGTTGACCTCAGTTGCAACATTAATTTCAAACTTTGAATTATGTCTACAAAGATGAAAAGTCCTTAGTATCTGCCTTGATTCACTTATAAGGCCTCTATTCGCTTGTACAGCCTTATCTCTGATTGTCAGTCTTCTCTGTGCTCAGTGCCGTAGGAAGTTGCATTCACTAAGAATACAGTTAATTCTCTCTATGGACTGAAAAAGGAACAAACACATACATCTTGAAAGAAATGCAACCAAGATATTCCTTAGTGTCAAGGATCATGAAACTTCATCTCAGATATTTTGAGCATATTGTAAGAAGGAGTCATTTCTTGGAAAAAGAGATCATGCTGGGAAAGATGGAGGGTCAAAAAAGAGAGGAAGACCCTCATTGAGATAAATTGACATGGTGACTGCAATAATGGGCTTGAGCAAGGGAAAGATTGTGATGATGGCACAGGATAGGGGAAGGCTCAGCTCTATTGCTCATAGAGTCACTGTGAATCATAGTTGATTGGATGTCACTTAGTAACAACACAGGGAATCCTGATGGTGGAAAGTTACCAGTTGGAACTCACTCACCTACTGGTTGTGGAGATCCACTTCTGTAGTGGGACAATTCTACTCTGTCACATGGGATCACTGGGAGAGTAAATTGACTTGATGCAATGTAGTCTGTAGGGAATTGTGCTGTTAATCTAAGGGCCACATCTCTCTGGTAGCTCAAATCTCCACCACTGGCTCCACAAGAAAAAGATGGGCAGTTTTCTCCTGTGAAGTTTACAGCCTTGAATGCCCTTTGAAAGGTCAGCTATGAGTCCATTCTGTTAAACTGAGCAACAACAACATGGGATTAATACCTACATGATCAGAACGTCTCTTTCTTTCCCAAATATTACACAGCTGGTGTCCACAATTAACACTCTTGGTACCAGCATTCAGGAAATCAAGAGATGTACTGCATTGGAAAAGTCTGCAGTTAGGGACCTTTCCAAATTATTGAGGAGTAATGATGTGAGTTTGTGTCTGACTCAGTCCATGGTCTTTCTGATCAATTGCTATGCATCTGAGAGCTGGACAATGGACAAGGATGACAGAAGAATTGATTGATTCCTCTGAGTTAAAGAACTAATAAATATGTCTTGGAGAGGTTGCAGCCAGAGTGCTCTTTGAAGGCAAGGAGGATGAGGCTTTGCCTTACATACACTTAGCAAGTTGCAGGAGAGGCTACTCCTTGGAGAGGGAGCTCATGCTTGGAGAAATGGAGGGTTGGCGAAGGAGAAGAAGATCCTTAACCAGATGGACTGACAGGGAGACGGTTGCAATGGGCTCTAGTGTGTCAAGAAGTGTAAAGATGGCATAGAATAGGATGGGGTTCAAATTTGCTGTTCATAGGTTGTTATGAGTTGTACTCATCTCGACGGTATCTAACAACAACAATAAAACAGTATGGTACTGGTACAATGACAGACACAAAGACAAAATGGAATAGAATCAAGAATCCAGACATTAGGCCATCTACCTACAGTCAACTGATATTCAACAAAGAAGCAAAAGCTATCAAATGGGGAAATGACAATCACTTAAACAAAGCTGGACTTAGACCTGCAAAAAGTTGAAGTGATATCCACATCTCACACTATACACAAAAACTCAACTCAAGTGGATCAGAGACCTAGGAGTAAAGCCAGAAACCGTAAATGGGACCAAACTTAGATGTTCTAGCCTATCATATAAATAAGCTGGCAAATACACCCAGAAATGCCTAACCAGAAGAAGACAAAATGGATTAATGGGACCTTCTAAGTCCTTATGTGCATCAAAAATTCTTCCCAATAGGGTGAAAAGAAAACCTACTGATTAGGGAAAAACATTTGGCAATGACATATCATACAAGGGTCTCATAACGAAAGTTTACAGAATCCTACAGGGCCTCCACAAGAAAAAGACTGATAAACCACCCAAATACAAAATGAGCCAAAGATATGGAAAAACTTTTCCCAGAGGAAAACAGTCAAATGGTCAAGAGATACATGAACAAATGCTCAAAATAACTGACAATAAGAGAATGCAAATCAAAACCACAATGCAATACCATATCACCTTGGACAAACACAACATAAGACCCCTATTATAAAAATAGAATTAGTAAGATGTCAGTCTAGTGACTAACTTGTGCCTGATCCAGGCCATTGTCATTGCTGTTATGTGCTATTGAGTTGACCATGACTCATAGCAACCATGTGTGGAATAGCTCTGAACCCTGCTCTATTCTGGGCCAATCTCACTGTCTCTGGCATATCTACCCTAATTACCCTACTTCCTATGTCAATCCAAGGTCTTTCTACTCTGTGCTGTCCCTTCACCCTTACAAGTATCATGTCCTTCTCCAATGACTGATTCCTTCTGGAAGCATGCTCAAAGTATGTGAGATGGAGCTTTAAAATCTTTACCAACAACAAACAGCTTGGATTTACTCTCTCCTGGACAGATCTAATTGTTCTTTTGGCCATCCGTGGTATATTCAATATCCTTCTCAAGTACCACAATTCAAAGACATCAATTCTTCTTCTGTCTTCTTTGGTCACTGTCCAACACTCTGATGTATAACAAATAATTGCAAAGACCATGGCCTGAATCAGGCTGACATTGCTGCTCTTTAGCATTCTAAAAAGGTCCTTGACAGCAGATTTTCTTAATGAAATGAGTCTTTTCGTTTCCTAAATGTTAGTGGCAAGAGTGTTGATTGTGGCACCAACAAAGCTGAAATTGTTAACAATCTCAATCTCGTCCCCATCTATCATGATGTTCACTTTCTCAATATTGGGCTTCAGTCAATATTGAAGACTACAGACTTTTACTCTCTGCAGGAAATGCTTCAGGACCTCCTCAGTTTCAGCAAGCAAGATTGTGTCATGTACATAGCCCAGATTATTGATGAAACTTCCTCTAAACCTGATACCACATTCCTCCTCTTAAAACCCAGCCTCCAGAATGATCTGTTCCACATAGGGATTGAAAAGTATGGGGACAGGGTGCATCCCTGATGCAGTCTTTTCCTTATTTTGAACCATGCAATGTTTCCTTGCTCTGTTCTGACAACTGCTTCCTGGTCCAAGTACAGGTTTTGCATGAGCACAACCAGGTGTTCTGAGAGTCCCATTCTTCCCAAGTTTATCTACAAGTTTGTTGTGATCCACACAGTCAAATGCCTTTGTATTGTCAATGAAACACAGATAACCTTTTTTTTTTAGTTTTCTGTTTTCAGCCAAGATCTATCTGATATTGCAATATTTCTAGTGCCATGGCCTCCTCTAAATCTACCTTGTATTTCTGGTAGTTCT